AAAAAAAAAAAAAAAAAAAAAAAAAAAAAAAGAAAGCATAGTACTTACGCTAGAAGAGTGAATTAAATCTGTGAAAGAATGGAAGAACTTCAGCAGGACGTAGAGCCATGTTAGCTTGTGTTGCGTACTGATAGCGATGTTGTTCATGTCAGTGTGGGAAGAGTTCCTCTTCAGGAAGTAATGTTAGGCCGGTGGATAAGCGGTTTTTTTTTTTTTTAAGTAAATATTTTTTAAAAGTTGTAAAAGCATTGATTATCTTGGGATAGAGAATCTTTCTTGGCAGGATACCAAAAAGAAAAGGTTGGCGGATGTGCTTAGCTAAAAACAGTAGGTCGGAGTACATAAATGAGAGGATTGTCATTTACATGACAAAGGGTTCATCTCTTTCGTTAGGTTGACAGTCTTCACAAATTACTTGGGGGGAAAAAAAGACCAAATGAATCCCTTATGAAAACATGAGCACTTTATTCTTCCTGTGAAATTCTTAGTTCACAAAATAAGGAGTAAACAACAGATTCCCACTGAACTCACACAGGTAAGTTTCAAGTGGGTGTAGAATAGGCTGCTGGGGTCGGCGCTGGCTCTGGGGCTCTCTCTTAGTTTTCTCCTTTGTAAAAAGGGAATGCAAAGGACCTTTAGAGGGCTACAGTGAGGGTTAAGTGAAATAATTCATGTGAAGTGCTTTGCTCAGTAGCTGGCACCCAGAATGGGACCTATCACCGCTAAAGAGGGGCAGAATAAAGCAAAGAGCCCGTCAGTCAACAAAGCTGAAGCAGAAGAGTAGTGACGTGGAAGGCCCAGACTAAAGGGTCCTCTTGTGTAGTTTAGATTGATGTTTTCTGGGAGAATGGTTTGAGAAGTTAGCATCAGTGTGTGCGTACTTTTGATCACTTTAAGTTCTTGGAATATATCGTAAGGGAGACAAACAAGAAGAGCGATTTCCATGGGTTTTTGTTGTTTTAAATCATAGTAGGTTTCTGGGAGGGGGAAAAAGGAAACATTTATACTTAGTGTTGCAGAATGCAATAGAAACACTGAAAGTCATGCTTTTGAAGGATATTTAAAGCTAGGAAGACCAGTTTATGTTGTAATGCTATAAGAGAAAGCCAAATATAAAAGAATGTATAATTAGCTCCTAACTTTTAAATAAGTAATAGAACATATTGAAAGTAAATGGGAAGGGAATGCAAGAATTTTAATGGTCGTTATTATTGGTGAGATTAATCAGTTTTTCAAACATTTCTGTAGTAAGGGGTGTTACAGTAAACCTGCAGAATATAGCAGACTCGTACGGTAAATTTGCATGCCACACTCACCAGCCCCTGCTAGGTTTCTTTTATTTTATTGAGACAAGTGGAAAATACTTCCACTTAAGAAGAGAGGGCTGCTTGGGGACCATGGTTTAGAGAGGCGGAGGAAGTGAGGCAGGGCGTGAGGCTGCTTCGGGCGGGAGTGACACATTCCACATTGTTCAGGAAAGAATATGAACGGCCACACGGTTAATGTGGCCTCTGAATTTCCAGAATTTTAAAGAACTTTAATTCTGTTTATTTAGGATGTCTTGACATGGTATTCAAAAACATAAATATATTCATTTTGAAAAGTCAGAGCCTTCTAGAAGAGTACATCCAGTGTCTGGGCAGCCTACCTCCAGATAAAAAGCAGTTAAAAATACATTGTTACAGAAAAAGGTGTTAACTTGAAGTTGGTTCCAAGAATGGAGCAGGATTAGAAAGAAAGAAAACAGTCTCCTTAGCCAAGAAATGCAGCTTCCAGCGCGGCATCAAAGAACTCAGTATGCGAAGGCGCTGCTGCTGCTTGGAGAGAAGCTGAAAACCTCATGCCAGGGGCCTTTGAAAAATCATCCAAGTAGAAACTGTGTTATGTTTTTAATTATTGGGACCTGGATGGAGTTGAAATAAGTAATTGCGATGGTGACTTTCACAGGTTTGTACTCTGTGAACACGGGAAAGAGCTCCCACACGACGAGCCAGTTGTAATTATCCGGTAGACGTTTTGCCGGCCTTCTGCGCGAGAAGCGCCCCGTTTCAAATCCGCGTACTGCTGCTGTGTGTATGTTCAATCAGCTTTGGCCTTGTTTCCAAAAGGCGGATTGAATGACAGCAGCAAGCAAGCCCTGATTTCTCTCGGTGATTTTTATTACTTGTTGTAACCTGGGGCTCCTTTTATTTTAGGCGCGTGGCCGAACTGTTCATGTTTGATTTCGAAATCAGTGGGATCCATCTAGACGAAGAGAAGGTAAACCTCCTTGCTTGTCTTCGCTGACCTGGGACAATTGGGACATTCTGGATATCGTGGAGTTAAGATGAGGCGGGTGATACCAGGACAGATGGGCCAGCGAGTAGGAAGGCCGTGTCACTGATGCTGGAGAGCCTGGGACGGCGTTAGGCATATATGTGCATCCACTCGCATGAGACCTGTGGGGCAGCCGGCACGCTCGTGCTGAGGCAGTTCTGGCATAGGTCGTATAATGGGCTAGGACGGAGGGCCTGGCACTGTCCACAGCTCGTTTCGCAGATGTGGGAAGAAGGCACAGTGACTCAAGTTCTTGTCCTTAGCTCCGGGGCCTCAGGGCCACTGTCTTCCTAGAAAACGACATGCCAAGAAGCTGAGTGCCTCCTGCCCGTAGTGATCCCAGGGCCCGAGAAGCAGGGTGCACTGCTGGGACTGCTGCCCTGGAGTCCTGTCGTCTAGACTGCTGTGGTTAGGCCCTCACTTGAAAAGTTAACTGTGTTTCTTTTAAGAAATATATTGTAATTATGCTCTTTATCAGAATACCCCGGAAAGTAGATGGCATTCTTGGGGGTATACAGGCAGGTCTCCGTGTCTGCGATTTCTGCGTCTAGATCCATCCCACTACAGATAGAAAACACTCAGAAAAATGCATCTGTTAGGAGGCTGAGGCAGGAGGCTCACCGTGAGTCCAAGGCCAGTCTAGGTTACAAAGTGAGTTCAAGGCCAGCCTGAACTGCATAGTGAAACCCTGTCTCAAAAAGACAAAAAAAAGAAAAGAAAAAGAAAAAGAAATTGCATCTATGCTGAGCATATACAGACCTTTTTCTTGTGATTATGCCCTAAACAGTACAGTATAATAACTGTTTATGTGATACATGTTATTAGGTATTAAGAGTAATCTGTGTTTTAAATTTTTATTTTAGCTAGTGTGTTTGTCAGTGCATGACACATTCATCACGAGGGCTGGGTGCGTGTACATACACATCTTAGTTCTTCCTGTCCCTTCTCCTTGTTCCTCTGCCTCTGGGTATTAGGAGTCATCTGGAGAGGATCTGAAGCCTCTTCAGAGGCCTCTGGCAGGGTACACCTGAGTTCCATGCAAATGGTGTGCCGTCCTTTTACTAAGGGACTTGAGCACTGGGGCGTTCGTACTGAGGGGAAGGGAGTCTTGGAACCAGTCCCCGAGGGTACCGAGGAATGGCTGTGCACCACGTCCACACATAGCGTCGTTTTGATGGGTGCTGGCTTGGAGTAAGGGTGGGTCTGCTCCTGGGTCTGATGTCTGTGTGTGGCTTCTGCTGCGACCCCGAGCCGGGACCTGCCTTCCTGTCAGGCCGCAAAGCTGCTGGGCTCCACTTACGCTCACGCTGCCTGAGAGAAACACCCTGTCCTCCAGACCAGTCTTCACGAGCAGTCTTGTGTCCGCATGATGCATAGCACTGTTCTGAGTCACTCCAGAGAAACCTTTGGTGCCAGGCATGCTGGCGCCCACCTGTCAGCCTAGCACTCGGGAGGCCGAGGCAGGAGGTTTGTCGCAGGTTTGAGGCCAGCCTGGGCTACAGTGAGACCCTGTCTCCAAGAAAGAAACTTTTGGAGTCAGTTTGCGTCTTTTTCTGACCTGACTTAGGGACCCCATCCCTGGATGGTTCTTTCTGAAAGCAGTTCACCCGGACCAGAGGGCTCGGTGTCCTCACGGCCCTCGTCTTAGACCTCACCGCGGTGCGCATTGTCTGGGCGTCGGCTGCAGCGAAGCCTGTGTCTCATCACGCCTCTCCGCAGGGTAGAGACCGGTGCGCTTCCTGTGACAGGGAAACCCTGGTGGACCTGGAGGAGGTGGGAGGCGACGAGCCAAGCCCGCAGGCTCAGCTGCTCAGGCCCTCCAGCCTGCCGACGCGGGATTTGTATTTAAAGCATTGATTTCCTTGTCACTCTCCTGGCCAGAAGCTTCCAGTCGCTTTCCTTTGTCTGGTGACATTAATAGGTGTCGCTGAGTTCGCTGCACCTTCCGCTGCCCCAGCCCGCTCGCCTGGTTTGTCTGGTTGGGATCCCCGGAAGACGTCATCCTCAGGCCTTGTCCATGAGGCTTTTACAATTTTGTTTTTACCCAGCTCACTTTTTACGTTTTCCCCCATCCAGCGTTTATCTTTAACGGCCTTTACTGGGAAGGTGTTCCTGTTGCTATGGCGGGGCCACTTGTCTGAGTGACAGGCTCATCCAGGCCCCAGCGCGGCTCACGTTTGCATGCACGCGTAGCCCTCACCCTGACGCTGACCCTCACTGAAATGCTGAACAGGTGGCGAATGGTTCTGGTACTCGCCAGCGGTAGCTCAGCCTCGTGTCCTCAGAGGGACCGTTGCTGGTAGAGGGCTCAGTGGACAGTTTACGGTCCGGTTCAGTGCTCCGCGGAGATGCTTCTGAAGCTTCGCTGACGTTCCGTGTTTGCCGGCTTTCCCCCGCCGGCGCGGTGCTGCTTTCTCTCCGTCCTGCGTCCTTGTGATGTGATGTGGGTGCCCTTCCCCGGGAACAGCTCCCCAGGGAGCCCTTGCGTGAAAGACGCGAGAAAAGCAACTCTCAGCTCTCTGTCACGGCTCCCCTGTCTGTTCTCAGAGACGCCCACCAGCACAGGGAGGAGCAAGGCACACAAAGGGAACAGGAAGTAAGCAGGAAATGTACAAATTACGGGGCTCTTCGTTCTCCCCACGTTTGGTTTTGGTTTTTGTTTTATTTTTATTTATTTATTTGTCTCTTTAAGACAGGGTTTCACTGTGCAGTTCAGGCTGACCTTGAACTCACTTCGTAGCCCAGGTTGGCCTCGAACTCACAGTGAGTCTTCCGCCTCAGCCTCCCGAGTGCTGGGGTTACAGGCGTGCACCACCATATCTGGCCTTGCTTTTATTTTTTAGATAGATTTTGCCTGTTTTAGTCACCCAGCCTGACTTGGAGCTCCTGAACCAAACCAACCCTCCTGCCTCAGTCTCCTGGGTAGCTGGATTGTAAGTGTGCACCTTTGTACCTGACAGTTTTGTTTTTATTTTTAAGCTCTCCTGAATATAATTTAAAAGTTTAAAATGATTAGAAATGTATTTTAGTAATTATTTAATAAGTAACAGTTTCGGCCAGGTGTGGTGGTGCACCCCTGTAACCCCAGGACTTGGGAGACAGAGGCAAGAGGATTGCCCGAGTTTAAGGCCAACCTGCGCTACATAGTGAGTTCAAAGCTGTCCTAAACTACATAGCAAGACCGTGTATCAAAAAAAAATCCAAAAAGCAAAAAACACCCCTTTCATAGGATTTTCACCATTGAGAATATTGCATGTTGAATTGTCGTCTTACAGTGGTACATGACATGCACAGCAGATCATTGCAGTCAGAAAGTGAACTCAGTTTTTACTTTTCCAGGGATTATCAGGTGATAAAATGTTTAGAATGATTAATCTTACCACATTTAATTTTTTTTTAAATAATAAAAGCCTAGCGGAAAATTTTGGAATCATAATGTAATTTTATCTTGTTCCACTAATTACCACTAGATGGTGATACATAGCCGGATCAGAGACACGGGCAGAAAGAAATCTGGGCCTAGGAGACATTGGAGTCTTGGGAAACTTACTTTTCCCATGAAGTTGGAATTTTCTGCATTAAAAACGTGGGGTTAGTTTTATATACGAAAGTTTTCCAGCCTCTTCTGGAGCATAAATCTGTACCTTCTCTCTTGTAAAAGCTGGAGCTGAAGGCCTAGCACATGCTGGCAGCCACTGTGTGGCAGGCCCGGCCCCCTCCCCAGAAGGCTGCGTGTGAGGGCTGCAGCCTGTGCTGGGCCTGGGCCGGAAGTCTCCAGCGCTCAGTAACGCAGCCGTCACGCGTCCTTTCTGACTAGTTGTGTGGGTGATGCTTTACATTTCATACTAAAATCTTTGCGGTGACTCCTTTGGTGAGCGCATTTTCTCAGGAGATTGTGATAACTGCTGAGGAGGAAGATCACAGGTTTGACTTAGACCTTGTCTCAAGCTTTTAAAAATAAAAGAATCAAAGGATCAAAGGGGCTGGGAATGTAGCCTGGATTCAATCCCCAAGATGACAAAAAAAAAAAAAAAAAAAAAAGAAGGGTGAGCTGGACATACTGGTACACTCCTGTTATCCCAGTGCTCTGGGAAGCTGAGGCAGGAGGATCTCAAGTTCAGGCTCATCCCATACAGCTTAGTGACTTACCAAGACCCTGTCTCGAGAAAGAAGGATTTTAGGTGTAGCTGAGTGTGGGCGGCCTCAGTGGGTATTCGCTGCTCCTGCAGGACGAACGTGCTCCTTTTTCCTCTGCCTTTAACCTAATCTTTTGACATTCAGTGTTTTCGAATCTGCCTTTCACATGCTTAATCTTGGTTCGCCTAAAGAGACTTCGTGAGCTCCGCCTTGAGCAGCTCTACGAGCTCACTCGTCTTTTCCTTTCTTTCCCAGTCAGATTTTATTGGTGCACTTTAGATACGCATAGTGATCACGTCAGCATAGAGAATCTGTACCTGTGCATGGTACAACTTGTTTCTTTCCATTTCCCCTACCCACCCTCCCTTCAGCTCCTCCTTCCCTCCCCATTTACAAAAGCTTGGTTTCCAGTTTTTCTTCCATTCCTCATTTTTTTGGTATTTTTCCCTTCTTTCCCCCCGCCCCATCCCTAGTTCCCCTTCCCATTTGAACATTTTCTTCCTGTTTCACAACATCTAGTCTACATTTTGGTCCTTACGTACACTTCTGGTTTCTCCCGCCAAGAAACATTGTGGTATTTATACGTGTGTCTGATTTATTTCACTGGAGTATGGTCCCAAGGTGCATCCGTGTACCTAGAAATGTCTCGAGTTTATCCTTATTTATGGCAGAGTAGTACTCCACTGTATAAAAACCTCCACATCCTCTTTGCGCATTCCTCGGTTGATGGGCATCTGGGCTGTTTCCAAGATTTAGCTGTTACAAATTGTGTCACTGTAAACATGCGTGAGCATATATGCCTGTGGTATGACCCTTTTAATTCTTTCAGGAAGCTACCAAGAAGGGGAGTAGTTGGGTCAAACGGGACCTCTCATCCTGCTTTTTGAGGATCTTCCACACTGTGGTCTCTGACTCACTAAATGCAGGATTTCTTGGGGGCGGCAGAAGAGGGGTCATCACTTTATCACACTGCTAATTCCAAAGGTCAGTTATGTCCTCAAGACATTCAAACAGATACGTTAGGAAATCATGAAGATAATCTTTTTGTTGAAGAAGTGCATATCGATTCTCAGAATCAGCTATATATAGTCGCTAGTACACTAAACTCAGGGCCTTTGCACTGGGCTGCCTGCCCAGCCCTAACTAAAGATGGGGTCTCACACATTTCCCAGGCTGGGCTTGAACACTCCCACGTGTGCTACTGTGCCCTGCTCGAGTATCTGTGACACTAATTGTGAAATCTTAATTCCAATTGCCTTTACCTGACTTGTGTCCTTCCCACGTGTAGCGTAAAAGAGCAGTGGACCTCAACGTCAGAATCTTGGATTTGAGTAGTCAGTTTCTTATGGGAACCAACTTCCCCGTCAAGATTGAAAAGCGCCTCTTACCCGAGCACATTCACCGTCACTTTGTGCATGACGGGAGTCACATAGTGGTCGATGGTCTGCACGCGGAGGCCCCGGATGACCTGGTACGTGTCTCCTGTTCTCTGTGTGGTTTAGGTCCCGTCCCGCCTCACTGCAGCGTGTGTGTGCCACAGTTCTAACCCCAATCCGGTGGTGACGTATCGCATGCTTAAGGATCTTGTAACACAGTATGACCAAGCTCTAGAAATCTAACTTGTGTGATCACTAGTTCCATAGAAGCTTTGAAGAGTGAAATGGTGTAATTATTAATGTCTAAAGTAACACGAAGGGGCTGGGGATATAGCTCAGTGGCACAAGCGCCTGCCTGGCAAGTGCAAGGTCCTGAGTTCAATCCCCAGTACCGCAAAAAAAATAAATAAATAAATAAATAAAAAATAAAGTAACACGAATGACTGACCTAGACTACTGAGGCTTTTACTTCACCCACTTAGCGTGCTTTATGCTGTAGAGACGTTGGGTCCAAGTTCGTCCCCCGTCCGCCCGACACAACCCCAGGAGAATCCCCTGGAGCTCCACTAAAGGGTGCGGTGCTGTCTCCCGGTTGGGACTTGGGAGGCTGTACTCACCTTGTGTAAACCATTCCTCTGTTTCGAAAGTGATGATTGCCGATAAAATTGTGAGTGCTAACCTGTACTGTTATCGCGTAGGACTTTGTGTCATGCTATTTATATATTTTACTTTTTAAATACAGGTTCGAGAAGCTGCTTATAAAATTTTTCTTTACCCCAATGCCGGCCAGTTAAAATGTTTAGAAGACTTGCTCAGGAACAGAGATCTTCTGGCGAAGTTGGTGGGGTATTCTACGTTTTCCCACAGGGCCCTCCAAGGAACGATAGCTCAGAACCCAGGTATGCCCATTTATCTACCTTTCAAAGACAAAATAGGGCTTTTTATTTGTTTTTGTTTTCGTTTTTGTGGTATTGGGGATTGAACCCAGGATCTTCACACTGATGCACTGAACTACGCTCACAGCGCTTTTTATTTTTTAAGACAAGATCTCTCTAAATCACTAATTTGCCATCCTCCTGCCTCAGCCTCCTGGGGTGCTGGGATTACAAATGTGTGCTACCACGACCAGCTTCAAAGTACGGTTCTTACGAAACTGAACTTGTGAGTTGGGGCGGGGGGGGTGGGTGGGTGGGCTGTGCTGAGGACTGAACCAGGACCTTACTCGGGAGGCAGGCACTGAGCCGCAGCCCGCTCTGAGCTTCGCGTTTAAACACTGTGGTGTTTTGTTTTTAAACGCTCACGCCCGCTTGTGGAGATCATTGACAACTTCTGATAGGAGTGATCTTTAGAGCTAATAATGTGGCATATTTTCTGTCTAGTCAAGGCATTTTATTTCATGTGTATGTTGAGGGTAAATCACATCTAATTTTTATTTTTTTTACGTTTGAGTTATTTTTGCTATACACTAACTCAACCAGTTTGTGTACTCAGTCTAATGAGTTGGTTAGAATCAGAATGAGAGAATGAAAGAACAGTATTTGTACTGAGATGAAGGTTAAATGTAGACTAGGTCATGGAAAAATACGTAGTCCCAGCCTAGTGTGTTGTGCGTGCCTGTAATTCCAGCACTCTAGGAGGCTGAGGCAGGAAGGTAGCAAGTTCCAGCCCTGCCTGAGTAATTTGGTGGCTTAGTGAGATCCTGTCTCAAAAAATAAAAAGGCCTGGAGATGTAGCTCAATGTGAAGACCCAGGGTTCAATCCCCAGTATCACAGAAAACCAAAACAAACCACATAGTCTTAAAAAATCTCCTTCTTAAGCTTGGCGTGGCAGTGCATGCCTGTGATCCCAGCACTTAGGAGGCTGAGGCAGGAGGACTTTAGGGAGTCAGAGGCCAACCTGGTCTTCCAGAGAGGAGTGCAGCGTGGGTAGGTGTGCAGGTTAGGGTCGGGGGGAGTTTCTTCCCTGGGGTTTGCGATAACCCTGCCTGTGCCGGGTTGAGTTCTTTACGCTTCACATTGTGTAAGAGAAACAGTTACACAGTGGTAGCGATACAAATATCTACTAGTTTTTGAAGACATTTAGAGGTAATTTTAATTTAGGCAGTGAGCTGGGTTAGGGTGGCAGAGATGGTGGGACTGCGCAGGGCCACAAGGTGTTTTGGAGGCTGCAGTTACAGAATTCAGTGCGGTGGACCGCGAGGAGACCACCCCCGGCGTCTCTGGTCCTGCGCCGGGCAGTCTATGCGCCCTGGGTAGAGGCGCCGGGGGCCCCGCGGGGCATCGCGTCTGCGCCGCCTCGATTCCTGCGCCCCCTCCTGGCTTCCTCGTGTGCCGGGTTGTCTCCAAAGCCCGCGCGTCCAACCCCGCTCCACGCCCTCCCGGGCGGCATTCCCCTGGCAGCGCAGGCCGAGCGTTGCAGAGCTCGGCTCCTGAAGCCCATTGCACCTGTCTCGGTGCCTGGGCCCGCTGCTTCTTCAGCCCTTAAACCACTCACGATTCTTTTCTTACAATTTTGTTCCTAAGTAGTTAGGAACTGCTGGAACTAAACATCTGTGTTTTGTGTCCTGTACTGCTGTGTGTTGTTTTTCCTGTGGTCACTGTTATCACCAACCTGATGATGCTACATTTTTATTTTACGTTATTTTACAGAGTAATACTAGACTGTTGTTCAGTACTTACTCTGCTGTTATTTTTGTTTTTATTAATCCACGTTTGCAGTACACGGTGATTACGTTTGTTGTAGGGACCTGGCGCACCCACATAACACACCTCATTCTTCCTTCTTCCCTTCCACGCTGCCCTTTCGTTGCCAGCATCTGATTCATTTGTGTGTCCTGTAATCCTTATAAAGTTAATTCTCATGCACACAGAGTGACAGGCAAAAGACCCTACAGAACACAGAAGACCAGTGTACTAAATCAGGGTGTACTTTTAGGTACCTTGTGCATGCCAAATTACAGTAATTTTCTTCTCTCTCTCTTTCCTGATGTCTTTTATTTTGTACTTTATTTATATATTGGGTTTCCGTACAAGAGAACGCGTGCAGTGTTTCAGCTTGTGTGCCTTGTGTGTCACTTACGTTGTGGTCTCAAGGGGCATCTATGTTTCGGTAAATAACTCACATTCCACTGTCTCTTTTCATTGCCCTACGGCCTTGTGAGGTAGGTCTTGGTCGCCCCGTCACAAATAGGGAATGTAAGGTTAGGTACATTGCTGCAGTGGCAGGGCTGGGTCCTCAGTGCACACTCCAAATTCACATTTTTCCAGAGGCTGTGTTTTCATCTTCGGTAGCCCATATTTTCCTTCATGGATTTAGGAAGTTTTCACTGTCTGTCAGGTATTATTCAGTGTGCTGGAGATAAAGCACGGCAGGAGGCAGAAGGGCACTGCCTTAGGCAGTTGGCACCGCTGGGAACCCAGGAAGAACTACCCGTGTGCGCTGTGGAGGGCGTGGGGTTGGGAAGGGACAGGGACTGCCAGCGAGGGACCGGGTGGCGTGGATCCTGCAGTGTCCGGGCGGCTCACGGGAACGTGAGGTGTGAGCCCGGACCTGGTGGAGGTACAGGAGCGAGTCTGCGCCCTCCGGGAGGAGGTCCAGGCGGAGGCACAAGCACGTGCACGGGCTGGAGGTGGAAGAGCGCCTGCCTGTGAGGGAGGACCAAAGCACACAGTGAATATTGCATTGAAAAAGACGTTACAGTAAAGACACATTGCCGTGCATTTCCCTCAGAGTCTCCCTCCTCCCTTTGAGAACACTGATCCCATCATGCCTGCCGCTCTGAAGCAGTTCTGGAGGCCTCTTTTGTGAGTGCCTTCACTTGTGTGCTGTCGTGGCTGCCGCAATGTCCTGACTCATGGTGTCGGTTGGGTGAATAAGGTAGATGCGAACACACAGTAATGTCTTACTTGACAGAAGTTACATACCAAAAGCAAGGTGTGAGCCAGAGATTTTGACCTAAGCAACGAGAGACAGCAGTTTACTCTTAGCCGAGCTGAGGAGGAGCAAACTTAGTTTGGTTCGGGTTAAGTCTGAGATGCTGGTTGACTTTTGCATGAGGACGCTGAGTAGGGGTTGACCACATCCTAAGTGGGAGGTGTGAGGTCACCCGAGAACACGTTTACGGGACAGAAGTCCAAGGCCCAAGCCTGGAGCGCCCTGAGATAAGAGGTCAGACCGTGGTGGGAATAGCAAAGGCTGCTGGGAAGCGATGGTCAGGGACAGGAGGAAGGCGGACAGGACAGCGCGTGTGCTCATGGAAGCCACACAGTAGAAGACTCAGCTTGGGGGGGCTGCTTCCGGAGACCGGCCGCGGGCTCAAGAGCGTGGCTTGGAGCTCAGCAGACGAGCACAGCTAACGCCAGACGCCGTCATCAGCAAATCCCTGCTCACGGAGGGTCGTGAGGGAGCTGGCCACACAGCAGTTTGGTTCTCCTCCTGCAGCTCCTGCCATCCCTTAGCTCAGCGCATGAGGCCGCGTCTTCAAGTGTCCGTCCGGGCTCCTTCCGTGTTGACAGTGGCAGGGAACCCCGGTGCTTTGTGGTCTCGGTTAAGCTCTGTTCTTGCCTTAGCCTTTTATTTCACTCCGAAAGGAGATAACTTAAATTGAAGAGAGGGCAGGAAACTTAAAACCATATAAAAGATCATCTGGAAACTATAAAAGCGATGTTTGTGGCAAACTTAAAATACATGAAAGCGCTACACAGAACACATAAGTCAGTGGCAGTCAGTGTGAAACGAAAAACTTTGCACAAAGCATTTCCTCTCGTGGGAAGTGATGGAAATTCTGCCACATTGCTGGTATCAGTTTATAAATTACAGTGACTATAGCTGAAGTACTTCAGTGAGGAATTAAAAATTCTCATAGAACTTCACCTTTCTAACGTTCTAATTCTGCTTCCTTTTCTTTTAGTTTTGATCTGGAGTAGATGATTCTACAGTTGGCTGTAAAAATAAAAATAGTTACTGGGAAAGACATTGAATTTAAAATTTAGTTTTCAGTAAATCATACTTCTTGACTGTACTGATTTTTATGAGCACGCCTGAATCTGACTGTCTCTTCAAAACTTAGAAAAAGTAGACATGTCTAAGCAACTTAATTTTTTTCTCTTACACATATGAGTGGGTAGAAACATACTGAAATTTTAGGTTTTTCCTTTTAGTTTGTCAGTAATGCTTTTACTTTTGGGGTATAATCTAAGGCTCTGGATTATTACTGTGCCGGTTTATTTTTCTGATTAAGAGATGATTATCATCTAGCAATACTTGTTATAGGCCTAGCATGCTAGTAGCCCTGTGTGTCTTTGGAACCATCACTTTAAGGGAGTTGTAACATATAGATTATGATTGTAACATTTTTAACAGATAATGTTCAGTTTATTTCACATAACTGAAGAGTTGTTTGAATTTTGTTTTTAGAGACTGTCACGCAGTTCCTTGAGAAGCTATCCGACAAACTTTCTGAGAGGTTAGTTCTATCCTATTCTTTCCTGCCTTAGTTACATGCTTGCTTTTTGAAAATGTCTTGGTTTGTGAAATGTTTAGGAAGTAGCCTATGAAACTCGTGAGCTGGACTGTTGGATCTGTGACAACGTGGCCACCCAGTGACACTCGCCGCGAGGCACACGCTGAGGGGGCGCGGTGGCCCCGTGCGCGGCAGTCCTGATCGGTTGGCAGCCCCGCCCACTGGCCCAGTGTTCTTAACAAGCCATCCTTTAGTGTCATTTAAAAATGTTTGGAGAACCTCCTCGAAACTGTTTATCTTAACTGGTGGCGTACATTTTATGACATTTTTTATAAAGTAGCATTTCTCTTAGTCTAAGTACAGGAAACTCAGGGGTGTGGCCGATGACTGTGTTTGGATTTTGTGTGTTTTAAGACCACTTTGCCTCAGACTCGGTAGCTCTGAAGTGGAGTTTTCCTGGCCTGGCAGACCCTTTGCACATTCAGTCTCTTTTATGGCACTGTGCCCATGCCTGTGCCCGTGCCTGGCACTCTTCCAGCCCTTGGCCGAGGGTGGCACGGGAGTCCTTAGACTCCCAGGGCTGCAGGAAGGGGCAGGCCAGGGTCTATAAAAGAAAGCTGTGTTGTCTCTTTCTTAAAATGCTGTATAAAATTTGCCTTTTTTTGGACTATCACAACACATTCCATTGTAGCTCAAATTTCTCTTTTGGATTATAAAATCTTGTCTTGAAACCCATTCCTTTCTAATTGAACTTAACGTTTATCACTTCTAAAATCTTTTTTGGTCCTAGTGGACCACTGTGCCTTTGACGTAGTGAAGAGGGTATACTAATTATGTATTTACTTAAGAATTTACTCTACTCTGCTTTGTTGTTTACGTATCAGTATTCTTTACCCATTTGTGTGTAGCTACAGATTCTATTTTCAGCAAACACATCTTTATTATTTTACAGTTTTATCTAGAAGCTAATTCTGACATAGGCTTCATATTTTACAAATATTAGTACCTAGTGAATGATTGCTTAGCTAGAGATTTTCTGTAGAGGAAAAATTATAGGTAGATATGCTGATCTGCATTAATATTCTTTTATAAAAAGTAATTTGTTTTTTACTTTTTTAAAATACAGCAAAAAATAGCCATAGCAAGTTTGCTGTTTAATGCTTTGCAGGTTGCTGTAACATTGCTAGTATTTTCAAGTGGTAGTGGTTTCAAGACATATCTACTTAATGCCTTCAAAGGTGAAGTTGCAGGAGGTCCTGATGAGTATGTTGTGTCTTCTAGCACTGGAGCAAGATTTGGATTAATAGTAGTTTACATTTGCACTAGGAATTACATCTGATTATATCATGAATATTGGGAAGTAATAGAGGCAAGCTAGTTCTTTCATAATGTAATTATTAATGTGTTGTCCTAACTAGTGATGATAAACCTCTTTTACAGAGCTGTGAAAGATTTTGAGATGATGCGAGGGATGAAAATGAAACTAAATCCTCAAAATTCTGTAAGTAACTCTGTTGAACTATTTTATTCTGAACATGTTACCAACAGAAAGCATTATCTCAATTCTGAAACTTTCTTTTGATACACTGGACATCTTTATAGTCTTGTTTCTGATACTTGGCCCTGCTCAGTAGAGGTGTTGAAGTGCTTGATCTAAGGTCCAAGTCTGATACTGCTTTTGTTGATTAGTCCACATGTTGATGTGTTCATGTCCACACACACAGCAGATAAATGTGTATTTATATATTCTATGCGAAGGCTGCTTCCATTGAGTGGAAAGTTGGCTTCTCGGTTTGTGGAAGCCTTTAATGAGACTCGAGGCGTGATGTAGCGGGTGGCAGTTGTAACCGTCACTGTTAGCATCGTTGTTCATGTGCTCATATGTTTGTTTGCTAATTTACGGTGCACAGTGCAGTAGGTCAGTATGGACTGGCAAACCCCATTCCAGCCAACACTTGCACATCGTTTCCAATCCCAAGGTCATCCGATAACTGTATGACTGCACAGGGTAGAATGCTGCCCAGGTGACTGGGGTGCTGTCAAAGTGGTAGACTTCTGGCTGTTAGGACCATTGTCCCATTGGTTTAAAGGCACTCCAGGATCTGGGCGTATACCCTTCTTTTATAGTTGTTGTTGCTGATAATTCTTGATTTGATAGCTGCTGTAATCTTAGGGAAAAATTTAGGGAAAGAGACCTTGCAGATTTGGAGAATATTTGCCATCTTCCCAGACACATCCACTAAAAAATAGATTGTAAGTTACTGTACTGAATAGAATTAGAATAGTCATACTGTTAGTTTATGATTGGAGATCTGGCTAGCAAAGGAACTAGTATTAGTCATCTGCACACTTTCGCTTTGTGGGAAGATCCACTTGGGAGGCTCGATAATAGATCAGAATTTGGTGAAACAGAAACAGAAAAAAGAAAAATGAAATATGTCAACGAAAGCTCATTCAGTACAGGCTGGAGTGACTTGAAACTGTCCTTCCTGCGCATTCTTGTGGAGTTCGTTGACACAGGTGGCTCTGCATGTGTTGTGAAGTGCTGATCTTCTCGTGAAGCCCCCTTCCGGGAATGGCTCTGGCACTCTCCTGTTGCCTCAGCCTGAATCTGCGCTCAGTCTAGACCAGTGGTTCTCAAAGTAGAGTCCTTGGACCAGAATCAGCAGCACTGCCTGGAGTGTTGGTAGAGACCCAGCCCCAGCCCCACGTCAGACCTGCTGACGCATGATCTTGGGCAAACCCCAGAGCCCGAGTTCCATAAGGCCCCAGGGGTTCACACCACCATGCAGTGCTGGGGGGGTAATCCTTCCCAAGACCCCAGGGCCGTGGTGGCGAACCTGCGGCACGCGCGCCGCAGTGGCTGCTTATATCACGGAAAGCTCTGAAAGGTTCGCCATCGCTGCTCTGGGTACCCGCCTTCCCATCCCCCTTTCCACAGTCGGGGCTGTGGTCATGGTTTCTCACTCAGATTCTCTTGTAGTTGCCTCGTTGGTCTTTTATCTTTCTGTTCTTGCTCCCCTCAAAACCACCTTGGATTCAGACTGCTTACTGTGCCCAGCCCACTCCGGACTAGGCGAAGAGCAGGCGCTCAGCACTCACTTGAACTTTGAGTGAGGGAATGAATGAATAGGTGAAGGAATTGCCATCAGAGGGACTTCCTGAGAAAGCAGATCTGATCTTACCATGCTCTTCTTCGAAATTCCTTGGTAAACCTCTGTAATTCCCAGGTTTCCTTTCCAGTGTCTTCACATCTCCCCGCCAGGCCCCTTGGGAGTCGGCCCCTGCCTGCCTCTGCTGCCCCACCTCCGTCTCCCTGCAGGCGGAGCCCGTGTGCCCGGCTCTCTGCTGACGCAGGCGTGATAGTCTCATGTGCCTTTCTCCCTTAGCTTCTGCTCTGGCGTCCTCTGCTCTGCTTTCTCTTTTCTTTAACGCTGACTGACATTTCTGTGCCAGTCAGACAGTAGGCGGCTTCCGGTCACTCGCGTGCTGTACACAGGAGTGCCTCTCCTCCTTTTTCGTCTGGATGCATGGCTCCAGTTCTCAAAACTTCATGTAGGCTCTGCCTCCTCCAAATATTTTCCGATTTAAATACCCTCCTGGGAGTTCACTGCTCCCATGCCCTAGATACATCACACATTCTGTGTGTTCTTAGCGCCCCTCTCGTGGGCTGTTTGACAAGGACCAGCATCACAGACATGACAGACCGTTCTCATCACTCCGCCCCAGACCACGCATTCCTTACTGCAGGGACCATGTCGTGTTCGCTCCATGTCGTCCCAAGCCTGCTCACACTCTGTCAGCATCTGGAGAGGCGAGTGGAAGAAGCGTGTTTCAGGAGCTGAACCCAGGGCGCTAAGTTCAGGGACACAGGTTCTGCCTGCGGGTGCCTATAGGGAGAAAGAAAATAATCCTGCGTGTATGGTACACCGTCATACGTCCCATGAAAGCGGTGTGATCATAAGACGCGGGAAAGAACTACTCGTAATTTGAGGAGATAGTGCTGGGCTGAAGTCTCAGGGATAGTGGTAAGAAGAAGGGCAGCCAGCAGTTACTGATGCAGTATTTAATGCCGGGTGTTGGACTCCGTAGGGTACGTGCATTTAGCGGTCTTATTTTGGGGGTGCTGTTGATCTACTGAACAAATATTTATTATACGACTGCAGTGAGCACTGACCGGCGTGCCGGGATGGAACAGGGGTGATGCCAAGTCGCTGCCCTCGCACAGGGCACAGTCCGGTGGGGACTGGAAACGTGAACCCGAGCGTCCCAGCTCCACAGCCTGGCTTCTCAGCTGCTCTTTTTTTTTGCACACTTTGTGGGGAGGCTGCTTCACTCAGGTGTTTACCCTTGCTTTCAATATTCTGTGCTAGTCATCAGAAACAACTGTTATCACAGTGCTTATTTAAGACGCATTTTCTTTGCCAGGATTAGAGTTAATTCCGCCTTAGTTACGTTTTAAATTGTTGCTTTCATTTTGAAAATACATCCTAAGCTTCTTGCTTAGTTTAAAAAGAACCCTAATCTTAACTTTAGTACTGTAATCATGCCTATGTTTCGTGCATTAATAGATGGATTTCGTTTTGGGAGCAGTGTCATCGTGACGAACTTTATCCATTAATGTTGGCTTCTGTTAATTTTCATTTCAGAGCAGCATTTACATGTTCTCCAAATTCTAGGGTTGTGCCTTGTTTACACCTCCCTACCCACTAATGACAGAGAAGTGGGCCAGACCAGGAGATTTTAGGATTTTTATAAAATTTCTCCAGCTTCCATTAAGGACTGGTTTGCCTCCCATAGGCAGCTGATACACAGTGGTAATTTTAAGTCAGCTTTTATAAGCTGGCTGAGTTACTGGTAAAATCACGAAACACTCAGTAGCTTTCATGACAGTGAATTATTCCGTTGTAGGAACTGATGCCTTGGGATCCCCCCTACTACAGTGGTATGATTCGTGCGGAGAGGTAAGTTTTTCAAGAAATGCGTGTGTGAGAGGGAAGAGGGAAAGTAATATTTATTGAGCACTTTAATTGTGCAACCGTTGCCATCCACATAGGGGCCCCTATCACAGGCTTGTTTCCCCTCTGCAGGCACCATGAGTCCTCTCACCATTTGTCCTCTGGGCTGTGAAGTTGTGCTCTGACGGGTGATGCCACACTCCTCCTCCCTGCAGGCCCCTCCTTCCACTGCTTGTGCATGTGGGTGTTCGCAGCTCTGAACTGCGTCCTCGCAGTGTCCAGAGCCAGCCCCTCCCCTCGCCCTGGGTGCAGCTTCCTGGTCCTCACTGCACCTCGGTGTCAGTGGGGGGCTTCGCCGGAAACCTTGCTGTGTGCCCTCGCTGGTCTGGGTGGATGTCCAGCAGTGCTTGTTACCCAGTGAAGGGGTAACAGGGCTTGCAGTGGTGCTGTTGATCTTTTGTATGTTTTCTTATTTTTATTTGAACATATTGTCAACACAGTGGCATGTCTGGAAAGATATAAAAGAAATAAAAACTGAAGAAAGAAGTTGATTGACGTACTCCTCTACCTTCTATATTCTCCTGAGTTTATTAAAGCTTCAGTAGATAGTGTTTTCTCTCCAAATATACCCTACTTCTGTTATTTTTATATTTACTTGCAAACCCAAGAAATAAGAGTCCTGTTCAAAGTTTATGTCCTTAACAACTTTATATACCGTTAGAATTTATTTTAAATCTCAGAATCCTGTTCTTTAACAGCTCATTAACATTGTTCTCCTGTAGCTAATTTTTAAGGTTCTAGTTGGGAGTTATGATCGACTGGGTTTTAAACCCTCCTTAGCCATTTGATTGCGTTAAGCTTCAGAGTGTTTTTGTTACAGTGCACCGTGGAGGCATCGGGTCAAGGGTGGTAGGTCCCTCTCCCAAGTCAGACTTCACTTGTCATTTGTCGTCAAAGCACGAGACTGTAACTTTGTAGTCCTTCTCTGCCCAGCGGGCGGGCTGTCCTCAGAGGACGTGTTGGAGAGCGTGCTGCGTAGCGCTCATTTATTCTCCTCTGTGGTCTCTACCCATTACTGTCCCCCAAACCAACTCGCTTGCACAGCGTGACGCTCCCCGAAGCTTCAGGTATTAACGCTTGATCAGCTGCTGGTTTGCACGTGTCCCACGTCCGTAAAAGTGTTTCGCGGTTGCAGGTCCTCGTATCCTGCTCCTTTTGGCCCCGTTGTCAGTTCCCTTCGTGGGCGCTCACAGTGCGAGCTGCTCACGGTCCCGGGTGGGTCGGTGCCGCGCACAGCTGGTCCTCATGCTCCTCTCACCCGCTTCCCTCCTGCCCTTCCCAGCTCCCTCTAGCGCTTGGTCTTCGTTTACAGAAGATCTCTCTCCCTACTGCCTGTCATGTGTCTCTTATTTTGCGCTTTATTTATATTCTGGGTTTCTCATGTAAGAGGAACTGTGTGATACTTAAGCTTGTGTGTCTGATTTGTTTCACTTAACATTACAGTCTCAAAGTGCATCCATTTTCCTTCACACAACTGAAGCCTGTTCTTCTTTATGGCAGAGTAGTATTCCTCCGTGTATAATTGCCGCGTTCTCTCTGCTCAGTCACCTGTTTTGGTGGACGTGTGGGCCGCCTTCACAATTTAGCTGCTGTAAACACGGACGTGCGCGTACCATTGTAATATCGTGTCTTTACCGCATTTAGGAAGGTATCTAGAAGGGGAAGAGCTGAGTCAAATGGAATTTCTAGTTTTAGTTTTTTGAGGACTCTTCATATTGATTTCCATGTCGGTTATACTAGTTTATTTTCTTACTCCTTTATAGTTGCAAGAAATTTAATTTGCTTGGTTAAATTCTTTCAGAGAAAGGTTTGCCTTTTGGCTTGGCCTGTTAGAGTCGTAGCGTAAAGAGGCTGGGTGTAGCTGGCCGAGCACTTACCTCGCACGCACCGGGCTGTGGGTTCCATCCTTCGCAGCACTGAAAACCAAAGTTGTACAGTAAAATACTAAACTTGGCCTGTTATTGCTTTCCATAGTCCTGTAAAGTATTTGATTTACCTTTGGCCACTTGAAGTAATGCAGATGGGTGATTTGGGCCCTTGCTGTTTTGCGCAGCTGTGATTTGTATGTGGTATTCTTTGCGCGTTCTGTTTCTCACCCCTGATTATTTTCATGAAGGCCTTTACCTTAAAGTGATACTTTTATCATTTAACTGTACTGTGTCATTATAGCTTGTACCAGTGGTGGGTCTGGGAAATTTTAGGTAAGAATATCTAAAGATTTGGAAAGAGTGAATGATTATAATCACTAAGAGTTTAAAGCACATGCATTACTTAGCCATTTGAGATCCCTGAGAAGTTTGATGTGATCTTAAACAAAAAACTTTTGGTTAAAGCCTAGCGGTTCCCTCCTCTCCATATCTACTGAAAACACAGTCCTGGAAAATCTTTCTGTTGTGGGCTTGGCTCTGGAGTCAGTACTTCAAGATCCCAGGGAGTTCTCAGCAGGCCACAACTGGCGTCTTTCTGCCCACATCCACCACAGAAAGAGTAGAAATTCCTGAGGCAGCTGGCAGTGCGGCTGGAGGCCTGCACCCTGCAGTCAGATGGGGGCCTGACAAGCCCCAGAGCCACAGCCGAATGAGCTACACGATCTCCGGCAGGTCTCTCTCAGCCTCCCCACCTCTCGGCAAGACGACCTATAACAGGAGTGCTGTCATCCTACGTCCTTTGTAGGCCAGGGCCCAAGGAGATGCTGCTTGTGCTATTAGCCATCACATAATGTTCTCTCAGGAACTGTCTGTCTGTGGACTGTCTTCTAGGGAACAGTCCACTCTGAGGTATGTTTTAAATGCTCTCTCAAATCTTTTGAAGGAGAGGTCAGTTCTTCCTTTAAAACACTGGTCCGGAATGTAATGAATAAGAACATGAGTTGCAGAATGCGCTCAGAGAACCTCTGGTGACCGTTGAGGAATACGTTCTGGAAGAGAGAAGTCCAGCTTGCCAGGGTGCCCAGGGCTGCCCAGCCTCCGGCCTGCAGGATGGCTCCCTACTGCTGGTTCCTTCCCTCGCAAGGTCCAGGGGTCACGGCTGCCTGCAAAATAACATTGAGCTGTTTATCCAGGGTGCTAAAGGATCTCCTTGTAACCTGCCCTTCTTTAACAATAAATACATGCATGCTCGCATTTCTCAGATGAATGTCCTACAGTTCCCTTGAGACCTTGATTCCCTAAAGCCTTTTGAAAGATGAGTGTTTTGCAGGAGAGCTGGCCACTCCCCGGAAGAATGCCCACAGGTGGACAGTGCGTGTGTGTGCCTACCTGCTCTTCTGATGCACTGTCCGCACTTTCTGCCTCACACTTTTCCTGCAGCCAGACTCCAGGTCGTTTCTCCGTCCGGCCCCTTTGTCTCCCGCTGGTGAGCAGCCAGGGCTGGGCTCCCAGTCTGTCTTCCTTCCTGGGAAGTCTGCTCAGTGTGCAGGGCCTGCACGTCTGTACGGGCCTGGGGCAGCTCCTGCCTCTGCCTGCTAATCCTGTGTCCTGGGGGGACCCGCCACTGTTTCACAAGGGTTTTGTGTGTCTTGTCAGTCTCTGCACTCACTCTGGGGTTTAGGAAAATGTGTCGGTGGCCACTGTTCAAGCTTGTTGTCTCAGCCAGTGCTTGAAAAGCAGTCCAACTGGATGTGGTGGTGTACGCCTGTAATCCCAGCACTTGGGAGGCCGAGGCAGGAGGATAGCAAGTTTGAGCCTGGCCTGGACAATGTAGCAACAGCAAGATCCCGCCTTAAACCAATTGAAAAAGGGCTGGGAATGTAGCTCAGTGCAAAGGCCTCGGTTCAGTCCCTGGTACTGCAAAACAAAAAAACCCCACAGAACAAGACAGAAGGACTCGATCCCATGGTAAGTCTTTCTGGAGAGAGAATGTTGTAATTGTTTGAATGGTGTTTTTCCATCTGTCGGCCTTTCTGAAAGCAGGATGGCCTTCCGGATGTGTGATACGCACCTGTTCTCAGAGCCTCCACCCTTCATTGACTCAGAAATGCCCAGTGGTACTGGAACCCAGGGTGACCTGCCCCATAGCTACGCAGGCTTTAGCTTATTTTAAAGTTCCAATACTCGTTCAGGTATGTGGCTTAACCGAGTAAAGGAACTGGGGAAGAGGGTGCCGAAGAGCCTCAGGAAGGACTGTATGAATTGGGGTTTAACATCTGTTTTGTGTAGCTTACCCAGCGTAAGGCTGAGTTTGGGTTTGAGGTTTTAATGCTCTTGATTGACAAGAGTGGGCAGAGAAGCAGAAGTAATGGATGATTAAGAAAGGAAAACATAATAGTTTGGGCCTGAGGTTAGAAGAGTAGAACAAAGCAAAGGTTTATAAGCCCTTATTAAATTCACCCGCTTTCAAGTAAAGACTGAAATGTGTGACTTGACACGGATGAAAACTAGAAGGGGCTTTCCTTGATTCGAGCTTTTCCTCAAGCCAACTCCAGGTACTGTCTGCTTTAATGTTAAATACTTCAGATTTACTTAAACGTCTGCCTCAAGAAGCAGAGAACCTACTTAGACATGGGAGGATCAATGAACATGTTTTAGAACGGCTGCAGATTGACCTGGGAGAACAGCGGGCTGGAAGACTGTTGGGAAACCTTAAGCAGCTCATTCTTCCTGCAAGTTTTAGTATCAGATTCTCTGCAGAAGAGGAGAATCAGGTGTTTCAGCTGTGAAAATTTTGAAGTGATTTGTGATTTTATTTGAAATTAAAGTTTATTTTTGAGCAGACAGTACATTCGCAGGGTCCCCACTCCTGATGACCCCCAGGCGCTGTTGGTGAAGAGACCATGTCATGTGTCGTAAAGCACCTTCTGGATTTATCTGGTTGCTTCCTAGTGCTATCATTTCCCTGGGTCTTTCCTGGTGCCGTGCCGTAAGCTGGATGTAAGACTTGATTTTAAGCATTTTCCATTTCAGGCAAGGACGGTCATAGGTGACAATGTATACTTTTTCACATCAGAA